GTAGTAATGTCTAGAACTATTTTGTTAAAGATTTTTTTTATTTGTCTATTTGACAGAGAGACAGAGAGCACAAGCAAGCAGAGCAGCAGGCAGAGGGAAAGGGAGAAGCAGTCTCCCCACCAAGCAGGGAGCCGGACGTGGGGCTTGATCCCAGGACCCTGGGATCATGACCCGAGCCAAAGGCAGATGCCCAACCAACTGAGCCACCCAGGCGCCCCTGTCTGGAACTATTCGGTTAAAATAACCATCCTCTAGTCAGTTAAGAGAAACTGAGGATGTGAGAGAGTACATGCTCTTTGAAGCTAATGTCACAGAGGAAATCCTACTATCTGATATTATGCCCTCTGTTCTATTACAGTCAGACAGAATTATGGGCTTCGTATATCAGGATTCTGTGGTCTGATTCAGATAGGCAAATACTATGCAAGTGGGAGACTGTTCTAAGATCTCAGTCTGCAGAAAGCAGGCATGTATAACTTTGAAAATAGATTTGCAAGAGAACCTGATTCTTACAAAGAAAGAATGTCACTTACTGATTGAGGAAAGGAGAACCCCTTTCTGACAAAACCTGTTTATTCTTTGACTAATGTTGGGAAGGAGAACTAACTTTCTGAAATGTTAAGAATCCCAGGATTTATCCAATTCATTACACTGGGTTGTGGGAAGAAATACAGTCTTCCCTCCCTTATTCTCCCAACCCCATTCCTAGTTCCAGTGTCATAGCCATGCATAGTACTTGCCTGTAAGTTTTCCTGACAGTCATTTATAGCACTGGAAGACATATCCACTTTGTCCTGCACCTACCATACTTTCATGACCTTGTTTAAGCTCTTTCTCCCATTTAGAAAACCCTCCACTCCACCTTCTGTCAACTAGGCGAACTCCTATTCATTCATCAAGACCGAACTCAAATATTATCTCCTCTCTATAGCTTTCTTTTATCTTTTCATCCTCATAGACAGAATTAATTGATCCTTCTTTTCAGCTCCCACAGTCCTTTATGTTTCCCTATTATTATATATGTCTCACTTATCTCACTGAATTTTATTGTTTTAATTGGTTAATATATATAAAGTCCTTAAAATGGTGCTGGCATGTGGTATTCATTATATAAGCATTAGCTATCGTAATAGTCAGTATTTTTAATGTTCTTATTACTCTTTGTGTATATGTCTCCTCTATCAGCACTTGGCATTTCTCAAGGGCAAGGACAATGCCTCTTTTATTTTCATTTCCCCAGTGCCTGGCATAGTATGTAGCATACAGTAGGAACTCAACAAATTTTCATTGAATTAAGTTCCTTCAGGACAGTGGGAACTGCCATGTCTAAAACTGGAGCATGATGCTGACTTGGAACTTTCCAAGTCTATTAATCTTAAACTAAATCTTTGGCTGTTCTGCCCCTCAAATGCTATAGGCAGTTAGGTGCTGTAACCATTACTAGTGAAATCATCAAACATAATTGAGGTACACTCAATCTATGGTGTACAAGGAAAGCATGCCAAACACCCTCTCAGAACTCATATCCAGTGACAAAAGAAATCATTTGTTTTCTGTTGGTTCATTGCTAGAATGTCTGAACAATCTTTGCCACTGAATTGCAATAAAGTTTGGTGACTTTATTTCCAGCAAGTAAATAGTTGTGTATTCATGGTTACTTCATCTTTTCCCCAAAATCAATTGTGCTTGAGGCATGATAGGGGAAATGAATCACATGTAACAAACTAATATCCACAATGACTTTTTTTTTAATTTGGGAAAAATTAAATCCCTCTTCCCAATACCCATCATGTTTATGACCTAAGATGTCAATATATCATGCTTTTTTAGCTGAGTTAATTTTCTGCTGAAATGAATGTATTATCCTTCTTTCTCAATTCAATTCTGTGGAGCTAGTCTTGATAAGTTATTCTGGGAGAAAAAGTATGTTTTAGACATTTCTCATCTAGACATCCAAATCATAGTTAGATACGTTATAAACAAGAGCCAACTTCCCAACCAAAAAATGTAGTCTTACACCTACACAAGGGGCAGAGTGCATATCTTGACATTTGTCAATGAAGTTATACACATTCATACACACACAAACACACACACACACATGAATTACTCCCTAAGTGTGTGTGTCATGTGGGGAGGGGAGATATAAAGTGGTACAAGTCAGCAAAATCAAGTCATCTTTACCTGCACACTTTCCCACCCTGCTAGATTTGAGACTATGATTATGGTGTGAAGTCCTAAAGCTGATGTAAGTTTCTATATGACTGTGATTAAGGGCAGATGAACAAAAGTAAATAGACTATGAGAGATGAGGCATAAGCAGAATAGCCTGGAGGCTTAGGGAACCATGTTGGGAGGTGACCATTCACTTTACTTCTGCAAAGAATCTGATGGCATTCTAGTGCCCTTATCGCTGGTATTTTGGGGGACATAAGTAGACAACACCCTTGGAATGGACAATGGCATGTCCACAATGGGCATTTGCAACATAGACTGGAAAGTCCTCCTCAAGCCACTTTGCATATGTGGTCAGTAGAGGGCACTGGAGTAAATACTAGTGGTCAAAACAATTCCATTTACAATCACATAAAAAATAAAATAAAATACTTAGGAATAACCTAACCAAGGAAGCAAAAGACTTGAACACAGAACCCTATAAAACACTGCTGAAAAAAATTAAAGAAGACACAAATAAAAAGAAAGACATCCAAAGTTAATGGATTGGATGACATAATATTGTTATGATGCCCATACTACCCAAAGCAATCTACAGATTCAGTGCAATCCCTGCCAAAATCCCAATGGTATTTTTTTTCATGAATAAAGAAAATTAAATGCATATGGAATTTCAAGGGACTCCAAATAGCCAAAACAGTTTTGAAAAAGAACAGAGTCATAAGCTCACATTTCCTGATTTCAAAATATATTATAAAACTACAGTAATCAAAACAATATGATAGTGCCATAAAGACTGACAAGCTGAGGGAATAGAACAGAGAGCCCCAAAATAAACCCTTGCATACATGGTCAAAGGATCTGTAATGAGGATAACAAGACCTTTAAATAGAGAGAGGACAGTCTTTCATCAAATGGTGTTGGGAAAACTGGATATCCACATATGAACAAATGAAATTGGAAGCATATCTTATACCAATACCAAGGATAATTCAAAAGGGTTAAAGACCTAAAACTGTAAAGCTTCTAGAAGAAAACATAGAAAAACCTTTCATGACAATGGACTTGGCAATGATTTCTTGTATATGATGCCAGAAGCTTGGGTAACAAAAGCAATAATAGATAAATGTAACTATATCAAACATTAAAACTTGGTGCACCAAAGGACATTATCAACAGAGTGAAAAGGAAACCTAGGAAATGAGAGAAAATATTTATAAATCATATATCTGATAAAGGGCTAATATTTAGAATATATAAAGAACTCTTAAAACACCAAAAATCAAATAATCAAAATGGGCAAAGAACTTAGATAATTCTTCAAACATGGTATACAAAGAGCCAACAAGAATATAAAAAGACGCTCAACATCACAAAATCATTAGAGAAATGCAAAATAAAACCCCAAGGCAAATTAAACCCCAATCACCTCACATCTGTCATGTCAAGATGGCTATTATCAAAAGAAAGACAGAGAGAGAAGCTGGGGGAGGGAGGGAGAAAGAAAAGAAAAAAAAGAAAAGAAAGAAAAAGATAACTGGTGAGGATGTGGAGAATTTGGAATGCTTGTGACTATACTTAACTTGTGACTATACTTAACTTTATACTTAATGGTTATGATGTTAAATTTTATGTTATGTGGTTTTTACCACAATAAAAAGGGAAAACTAAAAAAAAATACTGGTAGTCACTGCATTTGATGAACTAGTTTTATGTGCATAAGGGATACATCTTGGGGGTTCATAAATATATCTAGGAAAATACTTTATGTGCTAAGTTAATGTCAGGAACTGTTTCAAAAGTCATTTTGATTTAGGAATGAATATAAACACAGGTTTATATTAATTATAAATTATTGTAATTATAAATTACATATATATATAAATTATGCATATATAATATAAATATAGATCTGAGCCCATTTTGTCATCACATGATAAGATCAGGAGACATTTATGTTACACATAAATTTTGGCATCCTGTGGTAGTTTTTACTCATAATGATGACAGAAGACATCCTTTTCCACACAGTGCAGCTATTTTAAGACATTTGGCCAGCTCTAAATATTGCAAATATGTCCCCAGATATTTATATTACCTTAGGCATTAGAGTCCTATATCACATGATGTCATTATTTGATAAATTGGCATAACTTCTCAACACTAAGGAAACAGTCATGATTTCAGAATAGACACTTAAATTAATCCTGATTGCAATTAATAATGTGATGGACTCAAAGAGGAGATAATAATTCATGAACTAGGCTTGAAGTAGTGTCTTGGGGATTCTTTGATACTAAAAGCAGATCTAGCATATCTCAATCCATCATAGCTGAGGGATAATATGTCATGGGATTGTTAGCAAGACCTAAATAATTCAAAAAGACAAGTCTCTTGGGATATGATAGAAGAATTAAATTGAACTTTATTTTAAAGCAAGTCATAAAATCTGCTTTTGAATCTGCCAAGGTAGATGACAAATCCATTTAAAACTTAGCAATCAATCCAGTAGCTTTTATAGCTAACAAGTTGATATAAGTCCCACTGCCATCCCCTCCCTTCAAAAAAATATCCTATTTACTGTTGGGATGAAAGATGTGTTAGAATGAGAGAATTAGAATCAAGGAGACAGAAGAGGTTGCTTATTTAATCACATGGGATAACAAAGGTGAACTAAATCCACTGGCCAGAGGTCAGTTCAGGGAGCTCATATCAGCAGCACATTTTAAAAAGAATCTGCTGTTGGGCACATGATAGGTCATGCCATCACTGGGGGCTTCGGTGGAGAAGGAAATGCTGAGCCTTCAAGGTCTGACATCACTTACCAGGAGCCTCAGGGAACCCAGCCAGCATATCAGCAGCAGCAGCAGTTTGGCCCATGCCACTATGAGATGAAACAGTTTCTGGAGTGTGCCAGAACCAGGGTGACCTGAAGCTTTGTGAAGGTTCCAGCGAGGTGCTGAAACAATGCAGATTTGCAAATGGATTAGCCTAATCAAGAAGTTCAAATTGAAGATATGGAAAATCATCTCTCATGACCAAGTTAATTTAGCATAAAAATATAATTGATGGTGAATATATAAAGTGTAAAAGCACCAGTTAAGCTTCTCCTTCATCATTAAATACAGCTTTCTTCAGAATTGGAATGAAAAAGGTTGTTCTTACTGTATAGAAGTTCATTGAGATGGTTTGTATTTGGGGTTGGGCAGATATTTGTGTGCCTCCTTAAATCACCTTTTGTGATGTTCTCATTTGTGAATTAATTAGAATAAAGTGATTTTCTGCCCCCCCAAAAGAATAATAATAATGTTCTAAATTTCCAGTTATCTGGTTGTTCCACTCTAGTGTATTTCTTTGGTTTAGCCCTTCTGATTTCATCTACCTCTCAATGTCTAAGATAAATTCCACTTTTTTTTCTTCCAAGTTTTTATTTAAATTCCATTTAGTTAACATACAGTGTAATATTAGTTTCAGGTATAGAATTTAGTGATACAACACTTCCATACAACATCTGGTTCTCATCATAAGTGCACTCCTTAATCCCCATCACCTATTTCATCCACCACTCCCCTGACCTCCCCTCAGATAACCATCAGTTTGTTCTCTATAGTTAGGAGTCCATTTCTCGGGGCACCCGGATCGCTCAGTCAGTTAGGTGGCCAACTCTTGGTTTCACCTCAGGGTTGTGAGATTAAGCCCCATGTTAGGCTCTGTGCTCAGCACAGAGTCTTCTCAGGTTTCTCTCTCCCTCTTCCCTGCTTTCACGCTCTCTCTCTCTCTCTTTCTCTCAAATAAATAAATAAATCTTTTTTTTTAAGAGTCTGTTTCTTGGTTTTCCTCTCTTTTTCCCCCATGTTCATTTGTTTTCAGATAAACTCCACTTTTGATTGTGAACTTCCTTGTTTACTGAAGCTCTGAGAAATAGATCTTATTAAATAAGAATTTATGATCCTTCTGTGAAAAATACTGAGCTGCACTGGGTGTTATACAAAAACAATGAATCATGGATCACTACATCAAAAACTAATGATGCACTGTATGGTGACTAACATAACATAATAAAATAAAATTTAAAAAAATACTGAGCTATCCAAGTTCAAAATATCTGTTCCTAGGATACCAGTAGGTACACTAGTGGTTCTAAAATTGGATAAAAGTAGTTGGAAATAAAGTTAAAAGGAGGAATGAGGCAGAAAAGAAAGAAAAGATAAGGAGTTTTATTTAGTCATGCTGGGAGTTAGAGTGTTGAAGACAGATAACTACTAGCAACTGGAGACATGTATAGAGGTTGAGAAAGAGGTTGAAGCCAAAGTTTCGATTTGGAAGTCCTTAGCATAAGGGCTCATTGAAGCCCTTGGAATGGATAAGATTTTCTTTCTAATGCTGAGGAAAAAATAATAGAATCAAAGGGCATTGATTGTGCTTTGGGGAATGCAGAAAAAGAGGTGAAGGAAGGGGATAGGATGGTGTCATTGAAACTGATGAGGAAGACAGTGTTTCTTATAACTGGAAAAGGTTCTTCATTCACTTGCTCAGTTTTTAAGGACCAAGGAATAATCATATACTGGCACCATTCCTGAGGAAGGCCTAGGAGTGGTGTCCCAGGATATCCATGGTCAGAAATTAAGAAAGTGTGAGGAAAAAAAAAAAATCTTTATCCAAGAGAAGACCCAAACTGGATTAGGAAAAAAAAAAAAACAACAGAAAAGTTTGGAGAAAGAACACATCTAAGTCTGAATCAAGTCACAGAGAAAGGTCAAATGAGAAGAGGACCCTTAAAACAAAATTAGAGATGCTGGGCAGATTGGGGTTATATTTCACTGGAACCAAACATCATTTGGAGGGCTTCGGTGATGCTCTACACTTCAGGACTACCAACCCTTTGTGTGAACAGAGTTCTGAGGGCTTCACAGTACACCATAAACTATAGTTAAGAGCACTTAACTATAGCATCAGATAGACTTCAACTCAAGCCCTGGATCTGTCACTTATACCTTTGTGGCTTTGGAATAATAACCTCTTTCCTCTGAGACTCAGCTTCCTGATCTATAAGATGAGGATGATAATATGTATGCATCATAGAATTATAGTAAGAATTTAATAAGATAATATATGGGAAGCACTTAGCACAGTCTCTAGCAAATTAGTAAATGCTCAATCAAGCTATAAAATAGCCTAAGCCTTACTAATTACATTTTTCCACACTGAGGACCAAAATTCTCTTAAATCAGTTTGGGAAAAGCTATTGTAAATAAAGCTCTGTAATGTGCTGAGCCATAATTTTCATTTCCCCGTACTCATGAAGTAGGACACATATCTACTGAATCCTCAGTTGGGGAAGACAGCCTATTTTGCCATGGCCTACCTATCCTTTGTTCTGGCAGGCCAGCCCTTTACAATAGGAAACATAGTGATAAATAGAGCACCAAATAAGTTTATAAATTTTCACAATGATGTCGTTACTACCTTCCAGAAACCTTGGGACCCAGTATGAAAATCAAACCTGTCATGGCTAATCATGAATTCCCAGAAGTAAAAAAAGTACCTCTGGGGCCCTGGATATTTATTTGAACACCATTTGCTTATATGCCAACTTTTCAAAAGGTTATGAGGAAGAATAACTAATCCCATTCTACAGATGGAGAAACTGAGGCTTCATGAAATTACATTAGCTTCCCAAAGACACACAGGGTAGTGGATATTTGCAATGCTTTCTAGAGACCAGCACATTAACACTTTGCTACGTTTGGGAAATCCCCTAAGTCAGAACTCATATCAAGGTAAAACCTAAGAAAATCACTATGCTGGGTGCCTGGGTGGCTCAGTTGGTTAAGCGACTGCCTTCGGCTCAGGTCATGATCCTGGAGTCCCTGGATCGAGTCCCGCATCGGGCTCCCTGCTCGGCAGCGAGCCTGCTTCTTCCTCTGACCCTCCCCCCTCTCATGTGCTCTCTCTCTCTCTCTCATTCTGTCTCAAATAAATAAATAAAATCTTAAAAAAAAAAAAAAGAAAAGAAAAGAAAATCACTACCCCAAACTCCTTAGAAGGTAACACATGGACATGTGCTCTGGACCCCATGTGAGATTAAGATTCAGAAATGAGAAACTTAATAAAGAATGTTTAATATGGGAGAAATTGATATTTTGTTTCTGCAGAAGACAGAAAAAGTGTCCAGATTTAGGGCTGGGAGAAATTGTGAGGCCAAGTTATTAGTGCGTAACTGTCATTGGAGCTAGGGAGAGTGCCATGGTGTTACTGAGGTGTGGTTTTGGACATGGTTCCTGAGAATTTAACTTTAGTCCTGATTCTCCAGTCAGGCCAATGATTCTACGAGCTTCCCAATAACCTTTTAACCATTTTTTTTTCATTTTTTTAAATTTAAGTATAGTTGATATACAATGTTACATTAGTTTCAGGTGTACAACACAGTGATTCAACAACTCTATACATTATACTATGCCCATCACAATGTAGCTACTATCTATGACCATGCAACACTATTATAATACCATTGACTATATTCCCTCTGAACTTTTTATTCCCATGACTTATTCATTCCATAACTGGAGGCCTGGATCTCCCACTTCCCTTCACCCATTTTGCCCATTCTCTACCTCCCTCCCCTCTGGCAACCATCAGTTTGCTCTCTGTATTTATAGGTCTGATTCTGCTTTTTGTTTGTTTGTTCATTTATTTTGTCTTATAGATTCTATATGTAAGTGAAATCATATAGTAATTGTCCTTCTCTTTATGACTTACTACACCTTGACAACAAACTCTTTTTCTGCTTAGTCAGCCATAGCCAGCTTCTGGTGCATGCTTCTAAGAACCTCGATTGAGTCCATACTTGGACCTATAAAAGTTATGTTGTTTTCAACATAGGATTTGTGCTGGGTGAATTTCAATGTTTGATTTTTCTTCTAAAAGAGTTTATCTATATATAATCTGAGCAATAACTCTCAGTTCACCAGAATCTACTATTCCTCAAGAATTCCAAACAAAATAAGAATTTATTGTAATTCATTTTGTGTTGTAAAGGCTATCCTGGGCTGTGAATGAATTGTGCCAAAGTAGCCAGCCAGTTTTGCCCAAAAATCAGTCAACTCACCAAGAAAAAAAATCAGTCAAAATAGGCTCATTTGTTCCACAGCGTATGACCAATATATTCTCTTGATTAATTGAATTTTTCTTTTTTTAACCAACTGTGGCACTAAGAAACAACATAGCCTTTTTTTAAGATTTATTTATTTATTTGAAAGAGAAAGCATTAGGGGGAGCTGAGAGAGAGGGAGAGGGGCAAGCAGACTTCCCACTGAGCAGGGAGCCCAATCCAGGGCTCGAATCCAGGAATGCAGGATCATGATCTGAGCTGAAGGCAGAGGCTTAACCAAATGAGCCACCCAGGTGCCCCGAAACAACATAGCCTTAAAAATTATTTCCCAACATGTTAAAACATAGAGTTATGGACAATTACCTTCTCCCTGAGAAAAGGAAATTGAACAAATAATTTCCTTCTGGATCTCTAAGCAAAATAAATAGCATCTTAATGATACCATTTGAAACACTGAGAAATTTCATTCTAGGCCCTCTACTACTATTTTCCCCAAACTCCCCAGAAATTTTCTCTAAAGGAAAAAAAGTGGAAAGAAAGAATATACCATCTGATAGTTTTTAAAGACCATTTAGAAATTTTGTGACATTACACCATCATCATGTCAAGGAAGACCAGGATACTTTGTCTGGATGCCCCAACCCTAGATATTTCTGTCACCATAGTAGATCCATTCTCTCAGTTTAGCATTATCTAGATGTCATCTTCCAACATTTCCTGGCCTTAAATGGCTATATTTGTTTTGCCTCCCAGGCCAGGGCCTCCAGACTTACCAACACCCAACTTGTCCTGGACCTCACACCAACCCCATTCTCTGCACACACCAAGACCACTCTCAGAATCATCTTTTCCATACCGTTATAGTTTGAAGACTTCCCAGAAAACCTCAGTGTCTTTCAAACATTTTTTATTTTCCTTTAAATATATCTAAAATTCAAAACAGATCAAATACCAACATGGAACAAAGTACTGTTTGGTCTTCAAACTACACACTATTTCCACTTATATACATATACCCCCATTGAGCATCTTTAAGCAGCCAAAAAAGAGTAGTATACCTGGTCCTAGGCTCAGTACTCCTCTAACTGGATGGTAACTTAGGGAAAGTCTCTTTACTTCTCTAGACTCTGTTTACTCAGTTGTAAAATAATGATGTTAAACTAAGGTCT